TGGAGTATTATCATCAATGTGAAATTTTATGTAGGGTACACGGAACTTCCCAGACATTTCCCCACTGAATTACTGGTTCCACATGAAGTTCTCAAAGAACTAGCAGTGCTGAGATCTTTCTGGATGATGCAAACATCTTTAGGCACTGGAGTCTGCTGGCTTCAGCATCCCTTCGGCGTCTGTGTCTGTAGATGATGCTACCATTGATCTTTAGAAGTGCACCTAGAAAGTTTTGGTCCCATTTCTACAAATGAATCATCAATATCTGAGAGTAAATAATATATTTCAATGCTCTACATTCTTCTTCAGATTTTAAGACATATCTTTGCATCAGCATAACATGTGAAGTTTGTGTGTACATGTGTGTCCAGTGCATGGGTGTGGTATGTGCCTGTGGCGGCTAAAGGAAGGTCTTGGGTGTTCTCTGTATTACTCTCTTCCTTATTCTTTTGACATAGATCTCTCACTGAATCTGGGGCTAGGCCAGCAAGTTCCACTGTCCTCACCATGCTGGATACTTTATACACTTTATCTGACTTTGGGAATCAGGAATTCCATTTCACAGGGAAGATAATGACATTTAAGGAGGTCCTAGCTTCATTGTTTTGTTGTGACTGTCATGAGTAGCAGCAATAACTATACTTGACTCTGAGAAATTGCTCTGATTTTGAAAAACATGACTTCAAGAATCTTTGAATAATTTATAAATTAAAAACTACCAATACTCTTAGGCTAGAGAGTTAAATTTTCTACTCAAGGCTAATGAGAAGTCCTTATGAAGAATACAGATTAGCTTTATCAAAGCCTTTTAATATAGGAGATGACCTATATTCTACTTGTGACTAGAAAATGAATGGTTTTAAATTTCAAACATCTTTACCTTTGCTGTTTGATATAAGGTCTCACTGTGTAGCTCTGGCTGGCCTGGAGCTCAGTACTTAGACCAGGTTGACTTTGAACTCACAGAGATCCACCTGCCTATTCCTCCCAACTGCTGGGATTAAAGGTGTAATTAGAAGCTAGACATTCTTAATAACTATAGTTAGGTGCTGGCAAGATGGTTCAGTGGATTAAGAAACTGGTGACCAAGTTTGAAAAGCTGTTTGATCCCTGGAAACCTATATGGTGAAAGAACAGGACCAAGTTCCATAAGCTGCTCTCTGGCCTGCCCATGTTTATTGTGACTGTGAACATGTGCGTGCACACACATGCACAGATAAATGTAATAAAGAGACTGTAGGCATCCAGAAAAAAAGTGTCCACAATTATACATCTATATTTTCAGTGTCAACACATGGCTGCGTTGGTTCTTTAGTCAATCAAAGGTGTTTCTAGTATTGTTACCAACACGTTTCAAGTTAGAACAGCCTTAATTTATGTGACAGGAGAAGTGTGACAGTAAGCGTATATCCGGGGACTGGAGAGATTGCTCAGCAGCTAGCTCTTGCAGAGGACCTGCGTTTGGTTCTCACTACTCAGCTCACAACTGTATGGACTCCAGTTCCAGGGGATCTGATGCCCCCTTCTGGTCTCTATGGGCTCCTGCACACATGCAGGGCATACACACTATACTCATACAATAAGACAAATCAATAATTTCAAAAGGATACCAGGTTAACTGGGAGTGGTGATGCATACCTTGAATCTTAGTACTCAGCTGGTGGAGGCAGGAAGACCAGGAGTTCAAGGCCCGACTCAGCTGTACAGTGAGTTTGAAACTAGCCAGGGCTACATGAGATCCTCTCCTAAACAGCATAGCAAAACAAAACAAAAATAAAAATGGTGACAAAACTTGGGTTCCCAAGTTACCATAGTATTGTTTTCTTTATACACAACCATCATACTGTATAGTGTGCTAACCCCAGAAGCAAAATTCAGCACAGTCGTCTGGATCTCAAGAGTTATGAGCACAAATGATAGGAGACATGGAAGCTTCCACAAATCCAGAAGTCACCCTGAGGTAGTATTTGATAACGTATGATGATATCCACCAATAACAAAGGAGAACTTCTTCTTCGAATTCCGTATGCCCAGGCATGGGCCTCAGTTGCCATGTTCTCACACTCAATATTTAAACACATCCAGTTCACTCGAGGGGATTAAAAACAAGGACTCTTTGCACAAGAAAAGATGTGTGGAAATGCGGCTCATTTAACAGAGTCTGCACAAACGTACGGCTCGATTAATTGTTCTTGTTGAGATTGATATGTGCTTCCTATGGAAGGTGAAGTGACTTTCATCCATGCATTTAGCGCCCAGCGAGCTCCAGAAGTGCCATTGCATATGGCGCCTCTTGGACTCAGGGGGCTGCAGTCCCTTTCTGTTTCGTGGGCCTGTATCAATCTTTCTGCCCCAGCATCTCCACATCTCCTTCCTACCTATCACCAGTGCTCACATATGCACTGTCATCATGGGAGGGATGGACGTTTATTCTGCATCAACAATTTGTCCGTTCGCCGCTCTCTGAGTCTGCCAACCAGGTTGCCAATTCTGATGTCGACACCTGTCCATTTGGAACAGGAATGAAAACAGCCACTCATTTCCTAGAAACCATCAAACACCCTGTCTGTGAACAACAGTTCTCCCTTAACTGCAATATGGGCAAGACATGAAGGGGTCACGCAGACAGATACTTGCTGATCAGATCCTCCACGTCTTTCAATGTCCTTGAAATTGATAGTTTCATATCCCTCCAGTACAGTGCAGTTTGGGGAGTGCCGCCATGTTAGGCATGTGTTGTAAGCCCCGGAGACTTCACCTTTGTTATGGAATTAAATTTCATTATCAAAAGTCGCCAGAGTTGCTAATGAGATGCTAAAGTCAATGGGTGTTTTCAGGTGGCTTTCAAAATGATGTTCTCCTTGTGGAGATAGCAGCAGATAATATGTCCAATCACATTTCAGTTGAATTCTGGAAAGTATGCATATTTTCAGACAGGGTCAAGGGTATCTCGACTGTATGTATGTGTGTGTGTGCACATATGTGTATACGTGTGTGTGTGTGTTCTAACATTTGAGTGCTGGAGACCCATTTGGCACTTCACCCTGTGCTCTGCTCTCTCTCTGTCTTACAGAGCACCGTCCTGGTCTTTGTAATGGGACATCCTCACAAATCTTACGTGGCAAATATTCCAGTCACTGCTGCCAATGGCTCGCAGATGACATGTCACCACCGAAGTGAACTTTCAGAGCCGCCTGGGCCCTGCCTTTGGGAGCCTCTGCCTGGCAGAGGCTGGGGACTAATGTGGGTTTAATATTGTTATGAGCCAGGCAGCTGAGCCGGGTAACAATACGAGTCTGTTGGACATGTCTTCTGGGTTGTCACGTTCAATTTGCACATGACCTCCTGGCCAAAAAATGGGAAAGAAGTGGTAGAATGCGGGACTGAAAGCTCATATTATTGCTTTGACAGCTTCACTCATCTAGAAGTAATGCAAAATGCAATTTATATTTATACACTCTGACCTCCCGCACAGAGAGGGAAAGTATCTAATGATGGGCCGAGGTAGCGGAGGAAGAAACAGATCTCAATACAGCTGGAATTTGTCTACGTTTCTGCTCTTCAACCATTCAATTACAGTCAAAAGACAAATGAAGCAGGGGCAGTGTGCTGGTGAGGTAGTGACACAATTATTTTATAGGGACTGGCTTCTGGCTCGGAGTCTTGGCAAAGGAGACTACCGCACGCCTTATTTCACTGGAGACAGATAATCTGCTTGCTCCCAGTGGACAAAGGCCCTCGGCTTGTAGGTGTGTCATTATGCCCATCAGAGAGGAGAGAAGACACCAGCCAGTCAGTGACACCCCGGGTATGCACTTGGAAGTTCTTGAGAAAGGCTGACACATTAATCCTATTAACCAAGATAAATCAAGTCAGGTCTGGTGGTAACTGGGGCATCATTCACTTTGGAGTGGAAATAGGCAGAAGGCAGGAAGAATCATTTCCTTTGTGCATCAGGAAATTTACTGGCTTTTACGTGTCCCCAGATAGCTTCATTTTGAATAGAAGCCACCAGCTAACTGGGAGAATAAGGGTATTATTGTCCAAATCTTCAGATATGACCTGAGTATCCCAACCAGTGCTTTAAATGAACAATGGTTCCTGTAAAAGTTGGCCTCCTGGGGCGCGGGAGAGAATTCTAACTTTTCCTAAGGATCGGAAAGGACAGTTTCGGTCACGTACACAAAGCTGGTGGTGCTGGCGGAAGAACGTCAAGCGACCACTTTGGGTCGGCATTAAGAGCCTTGCTAGAGATCCAGCGATCAAACTTGAGAGATAAACACAGAACTGAAGACGACAGCAGACAAGGAGGCAGTGTACTGGAAAGTACTGTAATGTGTTTCCCCATGCTGCTGTTTCCCCCTTCTTTAGGGGATTTAAAGGCTTCTCTTGCTTAAGTTTTCCCCGAGATAGCACACTTTCCCCTACTGCAGCTCTGCATTGCCTCTAATGTGGAATGCTCAAACCTCTCTCTCTCTCTCTCTCTCTCTCTCTCTCTCTCTCTCTCTCTGTTTCTCTCAGGCTAAGCACAATAGACTCTCTGTTGAGGAATATTGTATAACTTCTACTCTCAACAGAATCCTTTTGGTTTCTTGGTGTTATCAGTTTAGGACACAGGCTTTCCCATCCTCTAGAAGAAAATCATCGGCGGAGGTCAGCTGGTCAATTTCTCAGCTTTCCTGGGTTTTGACACTATTGATTTCAAGGTCTTAGTATCTTCACAGAGTTAGGAGAAGGTAGTGTGCAGTAGGTATGAAGATAGGTACGGGGCGGGGGGATAGACATGCATGTTTATCTCCTTGGGGACAGCCAAAAGAGATGTACTTATGCACACTGTATGTACATCGTGTGCAAGACATACACCGTGTGTAAGGGATGTACTTTTGGACACTGTACATGAGAAGGTATGAGGACCAGCCGGCAAGCCAGAGGGAGGACGGGCTGTTTTCCTGAATGGAGACAGTCTCACACTCTCTCCCTCCCTTTGGGACTCGAAAAAGGAGTTCTAGAACTGGAGTGAGAACCTAGAAGTGGGAAAGAACACCTGTGACATGGCCAGCACATCCTTTGCACATCCCAAAGGTAAAATGGTAAAGTAGTTTGAGAAACTCTTGTTTGCCTCCCCTCTCCCAGTCTGAACTGTCCTCACTGACCAGAGCTCCCAATTCTCCTCCCCCACCAGGTGGTATCACACCCATCGACTTCCTAAACTCTTCAGGTGTTGAAGACACACGCACAATGTCTGGGGGACTCTGGCACCCACCAACACCCTCCCTTAGAGTACTCTACAGTGACTTCTGAGGGGGTTGGCCAGGTAAGAAGTGGCTTGGTTTCCTAAATGCATCTGATTAATGGTGGCCAGGCATCTGTGAATGCAGAAGACAGCCTGGGACCACACCAGGTACCTTGTGGAACACACTGCCAACTGAGAGATGCAGGCTAAAGGCTGGGCACTTCCCAAGCAGATGAGATTTAAAGCACTTGTCCACAGGTATCTTTTCAGGTACCAGGTGGGCCACAAAACTCATGCATAAATCTTCCTTTTTTTGTTCCCAGGGATATGGAAATAATTTTTGGACAGTTTGACTCACTGAAGAAATAGATGAAGCAGTTTGATAACTAAGCCAGGTGAAAGTTCCCTGGATCCTGACCTAAGATTCACTTAACATTTTTCTTTCCTTGCTTCCTTGTCCCCGCACTATTTTTCTTTCTCAAGTCCACTCCGCCCAAAGAGTAAAATAGGGGTCCTTTATTTGAGGACTGCTTCTCAACAGAGTGTAGTATGCAGCTTTGTAGGTCCAGAACTTTCCCACAACCGAGCTCCTTATTCAGGGTGGGGCATAGGCCAGGCACGACCTCTGCTCCGGGCTCTCTAGGGAGGCTAGTCCCCTACCTGAGGCCCTCTCAAGGGCTCGGGGCTGCCTGTGGAGCCGCTAGTTCTCTGTAGCCGGCCCTGCAGGAGTTAAAGCCCCAGACAGACAAAAGCGAGGCTGCCGCAGCTCCTTTTCTTGGCTGTCAGTTGCAAATAGAACCGCTGCCCTCTGTACTTTAACTCCCGACAGAAAGGGCATTTTATTACAGGCTATGACAAGTTGCAGGGAGACCGCGGAGAACTCAATAAGAAGGAGCGGCGAGTGGAATCAAAAACCCTCGGAATGTTTGGAAGACTGACCGAAGATGGCTCCAAATGATAGGTGTGAGCAGGACTGGAGGTCGTGGCTGCGGGCTGGGCGGGGTGGGAGCGGCGCGGCGCGGCGACACTGCCCGCTGTGGAGGCACGGGATGCACCCCTGGCCTTCGGTGGCCACGCAGCCGGCGCCCAGAGCTGGTGGGCTGCCCCAGCACTCTCTTAGTAGCCGGCGGCTGCAGCTGATTGCCCCAGAAAAGGGGGGCCCTACCCCCTCCTCAAATTTGCAACTTTGTGTGTTTTTCATTGGCAGGCGGGAAACGGACGCTTCCCTCTCCCGAGTTGGTTTCTTCCCGGTCCTCTGCGAGAAGCTGTCTTCCTACGAAGAGCCTTTTGCAAACTTCTACTAGACTTTATTCGAGTTTTCCCCGACCCTCTCTTCCTCTGAGTTCCCCTCTTCTCACGAAGTTAGCATGGGAGGAGAGAAGTGATACCAGGGAAAGGAAGAGACATATTTTCTGCCCCCACCCCGCTTGTTGCTTAGTAAAGGGGCCTCAGTCTGAGCTACCCAGGGTCTTTCTAGGAACTGCTGTCTGAGAGCCGAGAGCGTGTCCTCCTCCCTACCCGCCCCCAGCAGTTCTGTACGCGCTTTTAATAACCTATCTCCCAGTGAAAAACAGTGCTGCGTGGAAACTGTGCAAACCGGTAGAACTGCTCTTCCCTAAAGTGCGATAGTGGGGACCCCCACTACAAAATAAGCACGCTAGCTAGAGGCGGACCTTGTAGGATTCAGGTTAACTTGAGGATGCCAGCTCAGTTGGAGAGTGCTGAAGAAGGGACTTCCGAGGAAACTTGTAATACAAAAGGTGAAATATGTTTATCCCAACTCCACGCACAGACTCCTTGCCAAGAAAGGCAGAGTTGGTAGTTGTCAAAGCTAGCAGTGCCTGCTGCCCCTCTCCCCCAAGCTCATTTGCTTGCTGGGTCCAGCTCAGCCGAAGCCCCAAATAAGAAAGATTACAAACAGTAATACTCAGGGCACTGTGCAAATGGTTATAAAAAACTGCACTCCCTTTCCCTTTTTTTTAAAAAACCTATAGAAGTAAAAGCATGAACAATCTTACATAATTCCATAATCGAGACAGAAAAAGCAGATACACTGTAAATTCATAGCTTATGGCCAATTGTTTTCTCGCTTCCTGTGTCCTGCTCGGTAAAAAACAAGCAAAACTAAAGTTAGCTGAAGCTTTTGGGTTCTTCTTTAACTGGAGAAATTGTAAGAATCTAAGGTTTTAAAAGTTTGGGGTTTCAACAAGACCATTTCTTGGATACATTTTGCCAGGTCCCCTGCCCATGCAAACAAAACAGTGCCTTCTAACTTTGTTTTCTCAACTTTCTCAACCTCACCCCAAGTTTTTTGTTTTTTGTTTTTCTTCTTCACAGAACTTGATGCGTTTTCCTCCGTTTCTGCCAAAGTGTTTCTGACTTTGATAAATATTAATTATCCTTCCTCTCTCTGGAGTTTTGCTACACTCTCCACTCACTTGCATCAGCATAGAACAGATCCTCACCTCTCAGATCTGACTAAGAAGGTTCACGTGGTTAGGAGTGAGTCTGAAACAATGCCCTGGGTACCCATTGTGTGCTGAATAACCACCACAGAAATGGATATTAAAATTAAATAGCCACAAAACTAAGAGGGTGGGGTAAACATACCACAAAACATGATTTTTTACTAACAAGGAAGTTATAAGGTGAACGAATGTAATGGGTTCTGCTTCTTCCTCTGTCATGATATACGACTAGCAATAACTGGACAACGAAGAGAAAACTCTGCTTCTCTATTATTTTGTTAGAAATCTTTCAGAACTGAACAAATGCAGAATGTTTGTTCCTCGAAAAACCATGTGCTTACTACTGCCGAATAAATCTTTAAAAGGCTGTAGTCCTCATTAAATAAGTAGCATATGAAATAATTTAATAAACTCTGTCAAAAGAGTTCCTTCAATATTTTGGTTTTGAAATGGTTGTGAGGGGGACACTGGAAACGAAATTACTTCCTCGGCATGGTCCGTGTGAATGTGAATCCTGAAATAGCAGAGAGGGCAACAGTGGCCATAGAGCAATGTGAGCCAGGCTGGGGTGGCACTCCCTGACCCTGTGTGCATCTGGGAAAGGCAAAGGTGCACCTCAGTCTTCATATTTTTCCTTCCCTCTTTCAATATGGAATCTTGTTTCAATTTATGCTCCAGAATAAAACTCCAGTGCACTTTAAAGTCCCTCGACTTTTTATTTTCCCCATCTCTGTCTATGCGTTGCGTCCTTCTCTCTTCCTGCAAAGGACACACTGTTGAAAGAAAGAGGCATGCACCTGAGATTTCCCCCAGATCCTTCTAGAAAGAAAAGGAACGGGTGGTGGTGGTAAGCCCGAGACTGTGGAAGCTTGTAGACAGTTATGCCTCTGGGAGGAAAAATAGTCACTCCATGAAGAAGGGTCACCCACAGAAAGTCAAAGTAGGAGCCATCGTTGAAAATGGCTCTCGCTGAGGAGGTCTTACCGTGGGAATTAGATGAGCTGAAGCCTTTGGGAATTGTATGATGGAAGCAGAAAGTGGGGGTGACTTTGTAAACTTGAATCAATGAGTATGAGAAAACTTCCAGGATCCCCCTTCACCCCAACCTTTGCAAACATTTCAAACATCTTGCTGAGGTCCTGAAAAATGGTCAGCAAGGGAAGACCAGCCCCTCTAGAAAAGTGTAGTTGGTAAAGGAGTTGGGGGGCCACTGGTTTTTGCAGTTCTCTTCTCTTCTGAGACTCAGAATAACAAACTCAAGTGGTTGCCCTCACCTTGTCTATCTTCCTTAGCAAACTTGACATCATGGAAGAAACATGACTTGTGAATTATTAAAGAGGAGCTGGTTGACTTTTAACCCTGGGTGCATTGCTCAGACCCCATTACCTGCGCATTTATCGGGGAATGTGTTGCAAGAATTACAGGGTATGTAAGCCATAAAGAGGAGAGGAGAAAGCAGAGGTAAGAGGTTGTAAAAATACCAGGGAAAGCTGGGTGTATATCTAACCATTCCCGACACTCAAATGGATGAGTAATATGTTTCAAACTAAAAGAAGTGTGTGTGTGTGTGTGTGTGTGTGTGTGTGTGTGTGTGTGTGAGAGAGAGAGAGAGAGAGAGAGAGAGAGAGAGAGAGAGAGAATTTCTATGTTCAAGGGAAAGAGATGAGTTCAATGAAAGTTTAGCCTCTTTACTGCGATTTCCATATCTTCAGAGTTTTTTTTATGATTTTAAAACTCCAATTACTTTAATAGATTCTTAGCTTTATGAACAAAAAACATATCAAGGGTTCTTCGTACTTTTTCCCCCCATCTCAGATACAACTTCTACCATCATTCAACATAAGCACTTCTGAAACGGTGAGAAACATTGTTTGTGCACTATAAAACATGGTCTATAGACAGACATTTCCTACTGCAACATGGTAGAGAATTCAGAAAGTATCTCATTTGCCCAACTGATAAAATGATACAAATCAGTAGAAATCATCCAGGCTTTCAAAAGTGTGTGTGTGTTGTATACTAATTAAGCGACCATTATCCTGTGGGGTTGTGCTTCTGGGCAACTGTTGATGGAATAAAAGAGGAAAGGATTCAACAGATATCTAGGATGCTCTTTCAAAAATTAAGAAGAAAGGGATGCACAGTAAGCTAATAATAAGAACTACTAATAAAAACTATCACCATTACTGTTTGGTCCTCTGGGTACCAATTTGTGAATCCTGTTGCCAAGGCGAAGGTAATAATTGAATCTATCCTAAATCTGAGTGATGGAGTAGTCAGAAATGACGCCACCTGACAGAAGAGCCAGGAGGCAAGTGATGGATACTATTGTCCAGACGTGACCCTCCATTAACACTACCTATCAGCATCTGGATCCTGTCACTGGTCCCCATGCTAGAGCCAAGAGGGCTGCCTGGCAGAGTCCAAGCACTTCCAGGGTTTCTAGGCTGTGCTGAACCCCTCACCATTTGAATGGTGTAGAGACTAAACCCTGTTCCCTCCATCTCCATCTGCCTTATTGCCCCTCTCCAAACCCATTGTTTGGCAGGTGATGGCAATTTCCTCCTTATCTTGCCTGTTTGCGAGGGATTTTTAAAATTAATAACAAAGGGAGAAGTGGTATTAATATTAATTAACACCATAAAATGAAACAGTTTTGGGATTTCACCCAGTGAATCCTCTCTGTCTGTAATTGGAGCTTCGGAGGAAGGGGAGGAGGAGGAGAGGGGAAGGGGGAGGGAGGGAAAATGTGTGTGTGTGTGTGTGAGAGAGAGAGATGACCTACTGGGTGACAGGCACAGGTTGGAAGGGTGACATTTTATTGTAAGCCTCCCAATGAAAGGAAGAAAAGGAAGGGACCAGTCAATTTAATGCAGGGACCAAGAGTGCAAGACTGTTGCTAAGAGACAGAGATGCTGGTGAAGTTCTACCACAAGCCCTACTCTGACCTTATGCAAATAGAGACGGCCAACTCTTTGTGGAATGGGCTGAAAATTCCACCCCCTGTGTCACCAATACCTGGCATCGAGCCTTTCATTCAAATGTTCTCTAAAAACACACACACACACACACACACACACACACACACAGAGGATGTGACAAAGTGGGACACATTCAGGGGCTTTAACACTCGCATACACACACAACTCACAAGAATATGGGGGGGGAGAGTAATGGCAGTAATACTTTTTAAAAGGGAGCGGTGGTGTCTCCAGCAGATCATCCTGAAGAATTGTCACCCACCGCTACCTTCTGTCACCGTCATCTTCCTTTAGCTGTAAAGTAACCTGAAGTTTCAGGCATTGCCCTTTCCCTTGCAGAAATAGAAGCCTATTAAGAATTGCAGAAGTGCTGAAAGTACTGCCATTAATTCACACCCGGAGGAGTGAGGAGGGATGGTACAAGGGTGGGTGGATAGAGCGAGGAAGCTTAGTGCAGACAGTTTATCCCCCCTCCCAACCAAATGCGGGGGGGGGGGAGAAACTTCCTTTCCACTTGGTCTGCCCACTCTGCAGGACCAGATGATATTTTAAAAGAAGCTTGGGGTGTTTTGGAAAGTTGAACTGTTGGAGAGTTCACATGGAGAGGCTGACAGGATACCTCCCAGGGAGCTGGTGACACCGGCTAGCAGCTGCACAAAGGTCTTGGTCATCTTGACAAAGCAGGGAAAGGTAACTTTGAGAACTGACCCATTTGCCTAGTTCGGAGCCCTTCAGAAGAGGGGTGTGCTCTGCCACCTGCTCCTAGGTGAGCTACCAATTGACCCAGGGAAGCAGCCCTCGGGAGGCTGAAAGGGGGGGGGGATCCTAACCTGAGCTGCAGGCTCTAGATTCCCCACTTTCTGCCTCACTTTCTTGGGTAGCCTCATCACTCCTTTTCACCCCAAGTTGGCCTTCCCTTGGGGTATAGTAAAGGAAGCCATTCAACAGCCTAGTGTAGCTCCTAAGATATCAATCCGGAAAGGTAGAACACCACGCAGAGAAATAGGTTATTTCCAGGACTCTTAGCCAAGTTTATTCCCTTGGAACTACAGGCAGGATATCAGTTTTGGGACCCCGAGGACCCTGGGGGCTGGCAGGAAGGGGACAGAATCTGAGGAAGGCAGACCTGCCCTTGCCCAGCCCCAGTGACTACCAGGAACTGCTGGAACTCAAGCCAACCCGGACATCTTCTGTCTTGTCTCTCGCAAACCTCATACAAAGCATGAGAACAGAATCGTTTTCTCTAAGTGAGGGCAAAGCCCGGCACACACAACTTGGAAAACTCAATTTAGTCAGCCCGCATTTTTACATTCCACTTCCTCCCTCTCTTTGGATTTCAATACTGATAACAAGCCCACTGCATCTTTATGATAACAGGTGCAAATGAGTATGACTCCCCCAAACCCCCGCCTTGGGAGCGTTTCCAGCGTTCAGTGGCAAGTAACTTCTCAGGGTAACTTCTCCCTGCGATCCCTCCTCCCCTTTTAATGGCGGGACTTTTCATAACGTGCACAATACTATTAAAATTTCATATTAGCACTGTGTATGGTGAACTTTGTAATGGGAAATTCAATAGCTGCTGTAAATATTAATGGAATATGAAATGAAGGCGCAGCCTCGACCAGCCCTGACAGTAAAACGGAGTGAGCATGTGGCGGCCCCGGGGCGAGAGAGGCCTTTCCTCTTGTCGCTCTCGTTTTATTACATTAGTGCTGGTCTCCCCACGCCAGAGTGAGCTCAGAAGCCAAGGCGCAGGGTCACCCATGACAAATGTCCCGGTGTCTCGCCAACAGGCCCCGCCTGGCCTTGCCACTCCATCTGCCCAACAGGCCCCCGGGGAGTGCTTACGGGTGTCAGTTTCGGGCACAGAGCCCTTGAGAGCGCCAGGTTTCCAAAAAGGTTGCAGCGGTTTCGGTGCCTCCTCAAGTCAACGCTCCCTGGACCTGGGGGAGGGGGAGAACTCCAACCGTGCGTGTTAACGAATCTCAAGTGGCTTTCTGGGGTTGGAAGAGGTACTGGGAAAACCTGGCTCCCACTCTCATCTAGACCCATAGACCCTTCCCCCAAGCCCCAACTCAGTCCCAGTCCTAGGCGTCAGGACTGATCTCAGAATCACCTTAGGCTCTTTTTGGAGACAGCTGCCTTCACCTCCAGAGTCGAGGAGCAGTTCTGGGATCGTAAACTGACCCGTGGGCTCCCATTCCCTCTGCTCCCAGCCTAAGTCCCCGGACAGTCCATTTGCAGCGCTGCGTGAACTCTCTGAGTTTAGGCCTTGGAGCCAGCAGCTCAGCCTTTTTCCAGTCTGGAATATTCCAGAAACCACTAGGGAGGGTGCAGATAGACTGAGGGAGTCGCGGCACTTCGTACAGGCGGGCGGAGGAACAGACTCAGCCTTTTTGGGAGCCGGGTTCACTGACAGGGAGAACTACACACAGGCAAACGTGGCCATCAACACCTTGGGCTGTGAGCTTTTTCTCCAGGACCCGCACGATCCAGATTTGAGTGGCAGGCGACGCGTCTGCCTGCTACCCGTATTTATGTTGTACCAACAGCACTTTGGAGACCTTAGTTTTTAGATGGGACATTAATCTTCACTTGCTAGGAGATCAGCTGTCAGCATTGAACAAGAGCCTTTCCGCTTCTGAAGGCCGCTGGGGTCCCGAGCTCCACAGTTAGCTACCTGGACTGTGGGGGACGTGCAGAGCGGCGGGCGACACCAGA